TAGGAAAGTTCCTAAATCATCATGAAAACTATCAATATCATCTAAAAGCAAAAATTGTAACTAATATATTATTGGTTTTTTCTAATTTTTTGTAATTTGTTGACCATTTTTTTATTTATTTGTCATTGTTTGGTGGTCGGTGGGTACCTAGTCGCCCCCAATTCGCATCAGCGCCAACAAGGTGAGGCCGAGCTACTCAGCTGAATCCAAAAACGCTAATATATAACAATGGCCAAGATCGAAGGGGCAAGAGTTGAAAAGTCATGATTTTTGGAGTAATGGAACAAGGATTTTGAATGAGTAGCGGTCTGATGGACCGCAAGTTTTGCATGCATGTTCTCCTCCTCTAGGTGCTCCGGGGAAAAGAAATTGAATTTGCATGAAAAATTGGGGGTAAAACGGGTTCTCCATTCTCGGTCGTCCATTTTGTCTCTTCTCCTTTGATCTTGGCCGTCCAGCCCATATATATATATATATATATTGTGTGTATGTGTGTGCTTAGGCACATGCACATGTGCATTTAAACCTATAAATATTAGTCATAGAAATGATGTTTGTGCTTAGACACTCAAGGTTGGCTTGGAATTTTCAATCTGAATATATTTTGGTTTGATTATATGCAGACTCTGTTTTACAGGAGGAAGGGAAGTTCACAATGCAATACTGAGTAGTATACAAGATTTGGCAAAAGCTTTTGAAAGTTACAATGAAGAAGTTCTGGTAGAGCACGAGCACATTACTTTGTCATTCGTCAATGATTAAATTAGATAAAAGTGGCAACATGCATGGATTAAATTTGACTGATTCGTTGCGGAACTGTCTGTGGATAAATTCCTCTTTCATTTTAAAAGTATTGAATAGATCTGGAATTAGCAACTGTAAACTGCATCACATCTGATCTTCAATAGCTTAGGTGCCCTTGAGAGCAACCTTTCTACGACGAATTCCTTCTTCTGAGTGTTTTTGACTGATATTTATCTCCAGTAAAACTCTATATTTGCAATGATACCCTCTGGTATAAACTCAACATTAGCTAATAGCCTAATATACCTTATTGCATGTACTTGTAAAAAAAAAAAAAAATCGTCTCGTGGAACCTTTTGATCATGAATTTTTGGAAGACATGTAAATCTTACACCATTGGTTTTAGTCATATAATACTGTGAAACACACTTGTTCCAGTTTTTGGCTGTTATTTTGATGTCCCTTGTGCTGGTGTTGTTGTAAGACATTTAGTTTAAGCGAAGTCAAAGTTACGCGAATTGTCGAAGTTTGTCTCAAAACCAAGCCAAGCTGAACCACCTTTTTTCATCAACAATTTTTGCAAATTCCTTTTAGGGATCAAGAGGTATAGAAGAGCTGGGTATTAGATACTTAAGAGCGATGAATGAATATCTTCTAGGATAGTGGCAATGGGGCATTTTCTGGATTTGGATAGTCTAACGTTGACTTTAATGGCACGCACTTAGGAAGTTTTGACAGGGGGCTGTTTGGAGAATTAAGTAGGCTGTCTTGGTGTTAAGTATCTGGTGGAGTAAATTTTACCATTGTCAGAGAGTTCCAGAAAAAAGAATAGATTCATGATAGTCGATGGGAATGGGGTAAGTTTAATACTACCAGTGTTTTAAAACATGAAGGCCGCCTAGGAGGCCAAGGGTTCTCTTACCATAGGTGGCAACCTTGGCCACCTAGGCAGGCGCCTCATGAATTAGGTGCCATAAAGGGAACATACATTGGGAGGGTGTGTGTGTGTGTGTGTGTGTGTGTGAGAGAGAGAGAGAGAGAGAGAGAGAGAGAGAGAGAGGACGACTATTTAGTTAGTACGTACCGTCTACGTTCGTTTCGTTCTCGTAGTACGTAAATTAAATTTAGTTCGTACGTAGTACGAGAAGTAAGTATATACTAGTA